CCCCAAAACCCCAAAACCCCAAAACCCCAAAACCCCAAAACCCCACCACTTGGTGTAGCGATTGAGAATTAGGTCTAAAACTCACAAATCAATATGGAGTTTCCATAGCTTAAAGCAGCATAGAATTATGAAAACTTTGTATTAGGTAAACGATCTAGTTAGAAGCTGTCTCGAAAGCTGCCATGTCCACAGCCTTGTAAGCAATGAAGTAGTCCACCATCTCCTCCACTTCTTGAGCAGAGTAGCTGAAGTTCAGGCAGGCTTTCTGGCCCTGCATTGCCATTGCGTACAGGTCGTAGGTCCTGGCAGCTTCGAGTTCATCGGTGAAAGTTCCGATATATTTCTTAGTGTTTCTTTGGTTGATGAGGGCTTGCCAGTTGGCATTGTTTTTGGACACTCCAATGTACTGAGACCTCCTTCCTAGGCTTGTATCAGTAGTTCCTCTGGTCTTCTTTCTGGAGCTCTGAAACCCAGTGACCCGCCCATTCTGGATCTTTGTTCTGAGTCTGATGAGCCTGGCTCTGATGTCGAGTCTTGAAGAACGTCTTCTGCGGTTGCTGGAGATTCTTGTGGCAGCAGGGACTTTACTTTCTTCTTTATCTACATCCTTGTCCATTTGAGGGTGGTCGCTGTTCTGAGTGACAGGTTTGTCAACTAAGTTCAGGCTCTCCTTATCTTGCTGAATATCGGTGATCACTTTTTCAGCTTGCTTCTGTTCACAACTGGGAGCATCAGCTTGAGGTCTACACAAATATCAAGGTTAGGCTTTAGTTTTAAGAGAAAAATCATTCATGACAATGCTTACCTGTTGTCAATGTTGGCCTCGTTATCATCCTCAACAGCGTGAGCTGAGCAAGATCACAGGTTTTGACAAGTACAATAGGCTTGCAAGTATGGGACCATCTCTGCCATAGATGGACAGCAACAATAGAGAGTGGCACATTCTTTAATAATTTGTGAGTATCCCCACACTGGTTTGAAAGCATGAGTTTTCCAACTTTGATTATGGTATAAATCCATGTTAAAATTTTTTATTAAATCTTTTATCTTTGAACTTAAATATTTAACAGAAGGTCATTTGACAGTGGTAATGTATGAACTTATGATTTCAAACTCGTCCACGAGCATTTCAACCTCTATTAATGACTTAAGAAAGACCTTTAGTCATTGTTTATTTGCTCAGAGTTCTCTCTAGAGCAAAATAGATGCTTCAAATAATATTAAATTTTCATAGAAGCATGCTCCCGAGCAGCTGTTGAAGTCATGAATTATCTAACTTTCTAAAGATGACTAGTATCAGAGTTTAAAAATACGGACTTTTTTATGACCTCAAAAGACAGTCTGAGACAGAGACTCGGGCTGTGAAGTCCATCATGAAATAGCAAAGTTGATAATTCACTCCTCTATAATACAGTTATGGAGGATTCCATTCCGCATATATTTGTTACTAGGAGAACATTGGCAGCAACAAAGAGCCTGTGACTGTGATTGTTTAAGATGATAAATTTCACTATTTTTGTGAGATATTTCTTTGTCTTTGACAATGCCAGCCGCTAAGTTTGGACGAAAGATTTAAGCATAGTTAGAAATTTGATAAGAATGATATATCATAAAAAGAGGTTTAGACATTTACGACTCGCTTCATAATATTATTAAAAACAAATGGAAGACTCCTTAATGGAAATTTGAATAGGCTCTAAATGCTTTAAAGGGGCTAAGAACTCCGATTAGCCAAAATTTGAGCGTCAATAGACTATCGAAATAAATTGCTGGCATCTTATTCCAATACTATTAAAGTTTTGAATTTACCTTCATGAATTCTGGGAAATATTTTCATTGACATTATGTGTTGAAAGACCACGATATACTCACTGAAATCGCTAAGGAATAATACTTGAAACCACTCTTTTTACTGATATTATGCCTGAAAGAGTTCAGACTAGCCATTTGAAGAAGTTTATGCTTTCGAAGCTTTTGTAGCCTCACCAACATCTGTATAATAATTGAGGGTTTATAATCGTAGATACTATGCTAAGCAAACACGCATGCTTGAATGGCAGCCATCTTTGTTGTCACTGAGTTTATACGACTCTGAACTCCATTCGTAATAAGTGCCTAGTAATCACTCTTTTTACGATGAGACAACATGGCAACTATTTATAATGGTAGGCTAAGGAAAGTCTCATGCGGAAACGCCTGCACAAATTCCCGCATTGACTTGAAGTGTTTAAAGCTCATTTGAGTTGCTTACAAACCACAATAATTTCCCAAAAATCCTTAAATCCTGTTTTGCCCTCTCTCCTGCTCCTTCTCCTGCTCCGCCCCTGCTCCTTCGCCCAACCCCAGCCTCTCCCCACTCTCCCTGCTGGCTGGCTTAGGCTTCTTTCTCATGGTTGGAGCTAAATCTGAAGCCTCCATTTTTATTCGGCTGCAATTCCAATCGCAGTATAGCCTCATGGGGTTTTGGGGTTTTGGGGTTTTGGGG